ATTAAGCTAATGTAAAATATTGACCTAATTTTCCCGTGTGAACAAAACGTCAAAGCGATAATCTAGATAAAAACTATATTTTGAAAATTCAAGATTTAAAAAACGTTAGAAAACGACGCTCGTGTCGTCAGCTATATAAGAAAAGATTTTGTTCACAGAGTAAAACATTTAGAAAGATATTATAACAACACTATATTCACTTAGTCTGAAGATGCATGACTTATTCCGGCAGAGTTACAGCTATTATCCTTAAATCAACATGTGGTTTAACAGTTTTTCTTAAACAAATTAATGTTATTTTCTAATCCGGTTTTGGTCTGGAAAATGACTTGGAACTGTCATCAAGTAATTATGTATGTAAATTTACACGAATTATTTGGCCACCTGCAGTCAATTCCTTAGTGATGCTGTTCAATTTATCGATTGCTTTACTCTATGGTTTAGTATTACTGGCCAGTGCTAAGGAGTGTATTCCTGGTCAAAACTGTGATTTGAAATGCTGTACATCACCCAAAGGTGATGTGCTCTGTCGTGAGAGATGTTTAGGTTTATCATGTGAACTTGATAAACACTGTGACGGTGATTGTTGTGTAGATGCAACTTGTCGCAGTTGTCGTTTAAAAAGGTTTGTAAAATACAAGTTTAACAATAAACGCTTCCTCTTTGAGCATAGAGGTACATCTTGCAACACAACTCGTGTGAAGGTTTCAATCATTCCTCATTATCATCGCCGTTTCATTATAAATATATTAGATAGCTTGAATTTCACTGTCAGTGTCTGGCGAACTCTGACTCAGCATGGATTTTGCCGATAAATGCGAGGATGATTTTTATCATTGCTTTATTTGGTGTCCGTAAACGTTACTAAACTTTGTCAAAGCGTATAGAAAGTACAAGTCTTGAAGGACCCGGGTCCTAACAAGTTTTATAGTCGTGTTAGCTATATGCATCGCGAATAAAACCACACAAAGGTTTGTTGTCGATTTTTTTTATGATAATTAATCCCGGAAACTCTGCTTCAGAATGCCCTTTGAGCATAAAGTTGGGCTTCAGATGATCGTTTCTAATTGTATTCTGAAATCAGGCAACCAGATGATGGTCTTCATCAGCACAGTTGACAACTTAATATTATTGACCTCTCTACGCGTAGAGTAGTTGTTGGATTTATTTTGTTATGATTCGTCGCACTATTAATGCTGTTATTATAATAGGAAATTCTGGCAACTTTTCAAGCAGTTGATGAGTGGGAGTTAAAACATTCCGCGTATTTCCGCTTTGGTGTCGTTGTCGAAGGTTTTTCCCTGAAATTTGTCATTTTATGTGACCGTCGTGAAAGAAATTAGCTACCAATATTTGTTCGTCAAAAGTCGATCATTTATCATTCATCTCTTTTTGAGTATATTATTTTGACTTTATAATTCGAGATGGTTAAGCAGCATAATATAAATTGTTGCAACCAAACGGACAGAATCAAATTCGTTCTGCGCATCGGTTCTGCTCATAACAATGTGAGGAGCTGAAGTATTCTGATGTAAAAATTACCCAATTTAGCATGTTACGACTTTTTCTCAGCGTAAAATAAATTTTATATCCATTTGGAACTGTATGGCAAACCCTAAAAGGTGTTTGTAGAAAGAATATCATAGTTTATAAGCAGAGCAGCTTAATATGAAAACAAAGCCTTTGTTTACATAAATACGGACTTAAGGTAATTTCCCATTGCAATCGCTTTGCTCGCGCGGGCCTTTGTTTTCAGTTCAGGCCCGTCAGGCGGTCACGATCGCATGGTTAGATTTTCAACATGCAGTAATGCAGAATTTAAGGCTCTCACCCACTCATCGCGAAAACTCGCGAGTTGATTTTGCGTTGATCGTGTGCGGATGGTTTTCGGGTTGGTTGAGCTGTCTCGTTAGGTCGTTAGCTTAGCTGATAGCTCTCGTGTGCGGCGGACTTTAAACGACTTCGACTTTAATCACGTATACAACATTCGAGTTTTTTGTTACTTATAGCTGTTCACTAACTATAGCTTTCAGCCTTTTAGCAGTTTCAGGAAAGTGCTAAGATCCATAAAATTTAACAGCAAATAAAAAACATGACTTGTCATTCAACGGGGATGCATGGCGACCATTGCAAACGGAAATATTTATTAGGCAACCAGTATTGTTTTGTATAACTTACTTTTGTACAATTTCAGTCGATCCTCGACGCGTTTACACCCAGCACGCAACTTAGAAACTGCAGAAGAAACAAGGGAGGACAAATTAAAGTTAAATAAAAGAGCGAAATTAAAAGCAGAAGAAAAGACTTCACAGGAAGATGAACCGTCGGAGCCCTGGACAAGTACTTTTGTTGTCTTAGCATCTGTCGTAGGCGGTGTGTTAATTCCAGCAATTTTCCTTTGGCATGTTAAGATGTGATATGCCGTCAAGTGACTGTTATCAATTTAGCAGTTTCAATTTTACTGACACATGACACATGCACATGGTCCTTTCACTCATTCTGATTTTTAATGAATGTTGCTTTTTGAGCAACTTACCGTTGAAATGTATCAACAAGTTCATCCCATGCATGATATCCCATGTATTGTCTGTAGACTATAGGCTACGAGACGTTAAATCCGACTCAATTAAGTCTAGCATTTTTATGAGCTTCTATGCATCGATATTAAAACAAGTGATTTCGCATAATATATAACAATGAAAAGTTCACTGCAAGTATAATTAATCAGTATGGAATATGTTAGCAATTCTATACTAACCTGGTTTGGCACCTGTGCAAGCAACGATATCTTAGGTATGTTCTAGTAGCAAAGTATACGGTAATTTCTATCGGGACACCTTGTATATTTAAATACTTTTCATGTTTGTCGATATTTTCAATCCTCTTACAATTACAATATATTGTCGTGTTCATGGAAGCCTTGCATGCAAATCAAACTATATGGTTGCTGAAGCTTCTAGATATGCGGTATAACTAAATGATTGGTAAATAACAGGCTGCTAGTTAATATCATTTACATATAACATTTAATTTTAACAAAAATCATGCAGCACTTTGACTATAGGGGTATCAATTGACTGTCAAAAGACATGGCGTACGTATTAAAAAAAAAAAGTATTGTTTGTTCGATCGTTTGTTGCAACAAGCTTATCCCTTGCTGCATGATGTGAAGTTGCATATGAGAATATCTTGTATAACACAGAAACACAAAGAGCCTTACTTCTGAAAGCCAACTTGAATCCTGGCAACGTTGGCACAAAGGCATTCATCGTTAAGGCTGAGGGGGATATCGGCTTGATTGACAGAGGGGCCATGCATGCATGTTATTCATTTTGATATATTTAAGACATTCACCAAATCGTACATTTAAAATACATGCAATACACGTCTTATCGGCCGACTAAACGAGTATATTATTGAAACGGGTGGAATAACTGTATAAAAAGCGTTCAGCCTGATGCGATAACAAACAAATTAATATTTTGCATGTACAAACCTTGATATATATGGAGGGTTATATCAGTGTCAAGTGTTAGGCTTGAACATAGTTTTGTGTCCACTTCCATATGCATGTTATTTATTAGAATTGCATCCATGGCAGGCAAAGAATCAGCAAGCGGACTAGAAATAATTCTCTCTTGTCATCACGCAAAGAACAGTTAACTTTAACAACAAGATTAGTTTGTAGGTCGGCAGAATAAATTATGCTAAATTGATTAGTGTGCAATGGAACAGACAAAAAAATCCAAAACAAAGGTAAGAAAGCTGGGGTTTGTGTGACGATGTTTGACTAAATAAACCAATTAGGCCTTTTTTAGACTCGCATTTTAGTCGTGTGGAATGCAATTTAGCCAAGAAAAAAGTCTCATTATTACCTCTTTATCTACAGGGTGTCTCAAAAAACGAAAAATATTGAAATCACTCATTGTTAAGATTTGATTGCCTTGTTCACGAATTTTAGCCCGTGGGGATTTAATGCAACTTATAAAATGCTAAGCAAAAACAATTTGAAATTGTGAATATGATTAAATTTAAATTAGCCTTGTTATTGCTTCGAAAAAAAAATGCATGGTACAACAGACCGAAGAACAACGAGTGTTTATTGTGATGTTATCCCAAAAGAGTGCTTAGGCATTCATACTCTAACAATTACACTTTGTTATGGGTGATTTCAATAGTTTTCGGGTTTTTTTTAATCACCCTGTATTTACTGTCTTTATTGCTTTCAACGTGACCTCAAATGCGAGTTGGTTGTTTACGTCCGCCTTTTGGTCGCGTCGAATGCAACTCAAACAATAGGTAATAAGATGATAACGAGGTTTTTCATCTCATTATCTATTGTCTTAATTGCATTCGACGCGACCTAGGTTTAAGGTAGGCCTTTATACTAGTTATACCGTGTGTAAAGTACCCTCTATCGAAATATCATTCTTTTATTGTTAAAGGTATACTCCTCTTTGGGACACACTACAGGGTGTATAAAAAACTATCCCATGTACTCCCATAGCAAAAGATTGTAGCCCCCGTGGGAATTATTAATGGTTGCGTGCTTTTTGGATACATACTGTATAGCTATTTCTTTGTTTTCTTTGTCTTGGCCTTTTGTTTTACGGCTTTGCTTTCTTGATAGCACTAATGAACCAACTCTGGTTATAACACATTTAATATCCCAGCCACCCAGTGACCCAGATATTTTAAAAGAAAATTCAATTTGGAAAAGGGGCATTGAAAAATCATCCCAATAGTGAAATTTGATCAAACAAACAACTACGAGCAATCAAAATATCGTTTATAAAACAGTGTGATAGTAAAAATAAAGTAAAATGAGTTTACAAAGACATGAACACCGAACACAAAGACACTATATTGGTCACGAATTACATAATTTTCCAGTTTATAATATTTTTAAACAAACTTACAACTAGATTTAAAGCAACCTGAACATTACAAATTATTCAAATATCGAGAGATATTAATTTTATCCATCGTAATTACTATTATACACATTTTAATACGTTAAAAATAAAACAAAGAGTACGTATACTGATATTCCTCATCGAGAGAATAAAATTAGTTCATTAAGGTAACATCCATCCAGCTAATCTGCGTAGAAAATCAGCCAATCAGAAGCCAGATCCTTGACAAACCAGAATTGTATTTTACTTTATTTCAAATGACTCCGGCGATATTGTTTTTATACTGAAACATGTTTTGTCAAGGCGCCTTGTGACGTCATGATCTCAGATCGAAATTGTTAAATGCACATATTTTAACCAAGAATACTGAGTCTAAACATTTCTCTAGATGACTAAAAGGAAGCATATCTACACTAGAAATCCATTCAGAATTTGCGCTAACCAACGGTTCCTATAGCAACAGAAATGTCTCAAAATTGCGGCGAAATGCAGATTTTTTGGCGGCGATTTTAAAACATTTCTTTTGTTATAGAAACAGTTGCCAGGCACAAGTTCCGAATAGGTTTTGACTCTAGATATGATGCCGGACAACTTTTGTCCTCTAGCTAAATATTTCGACGATTAATTCCCCAGTTCAAAATGTTCATTTAACCATTTCATGAAACTGTATAGAGCCACCTTAAACGCATTCGAATTACACTTCTTTGAGAACAAAGTCCTTGGCCTCCAACAACCCTTCTCTCTCTATAGAAATAACATGGAATAATGAAAATTAATCAAAAAATGATTTGGTCTGATGCGCTTCTGACTGCTGGGATAACTCACTGCATATAAACATGTAACTCAGTCTTTAATCATTGCAGGGAAATATCATTTATATTACCTAAGTTTGACTAGTCTGGCACAAATAGTGCAACTCAAACTAATGCTTAAGACACAAGTCGAAAGAAACTCTTACTGCAACCTCAGTCAGTAGCATTCAGTGTGCTACTATAATTATAATACCTTACCCTCTGGTTTCTCATTCTGTGGTGGAAGCTCTGGCTCCTCATTCTGTGGTGGAAGCTCTGGTTCCTCATTCTGTGGTGGAAGCTCTGGTTCCTCATTCAGGGGTGGAAACTCTGGTTCCTCATTCTGCGGTGGAAGCTCTGATTCCTCATTCTGCGGTGGAAGCTCTGATTCCTCATTCTGTGGTGGAAGCTCTGGTTCCTCATTCTGTGGCGGAAGCTCTGGTTCCTCATTCTGTGGTGGAAGCTTTGGTTCCTCATTCTGGGGTGGAAGCTCTGGCTCCTCATTCTGTGGTAGACGCTCTGGCTCCACATTCTGTGGTGGAAGCTGACGTCTCGCATCTGGTGGTGGTGAAAATGTGAAACAGTACACGACACGTTCGTTTCCATTAATTGCGCCGAAAAGCAATTCTACATGAAAGTGAACAGTCTGCTGGCCTAAAAATGCACACATTGATAAAAGTTAACGAATCGCTTAAGTATGAAATCCAAATGGGCAAACTAACGTTATCAAACATGTCAGCCTTATCAGAAAGCTGATACAAGCAAACGACCATTTTAGCCGTGCCGTACCGATAAATTCAGTGTAGTGTAAACGGGGCTTAAGATGCATTTTTTATGCGATTCTAACTTTGTTTACATAAAAAGAGTCACTAATTTTTATCCGTGTCGAGAAACCGTGGAAGCACCAAATCCACGACGCGGACGTGAATTGATAAATAAACTGCCCTTGTTTCCGGAGTTTTCTGAGTGCCAAAGCGTCATGTTCGTTTATTCCGGCGATGATCGGCAAGACTTGAAATATTAAGTTCCAAATCATCAGCCTTGGTCAACAGTGGGCCACGCCATCCCAACAGCAGTAAAAACATGCATCTTAATTTATGCTGTAGCCTCAATGATTCAATTATTTATTCTGTTATATATTAAAGGAACCCATTATTTTAATTGGGCCAGGTAATTGAATATATATATATGTTATTGACTGAGCGAGAGGTCCGTACAGGAGGATACTGGTCGAGTTCAGTCTTTTTTCGCTTGTATGGACCGAGCCTTTAGGCGAGGTCCATACAAGCGAAAAAAGAACGAGATCAGTATCCTCCTGTACGGACCGAACAAGCTCAGTCAATAAACTATTTATTATATGACTAAAAACGATTAAAATTCCCAACTAAAAAATTCCCGCCGAACCTGGCCAGTCCGTACTGTTGGTTACCGACCGCTCAGGAACCAATCAGAATGCTTGATTTTAGTTGATGGACCGATGAACTATTCTAGTCATATAATAAAAGCGCGTTACTCACCCGCAAGAAAATGTGGGTTGTTGAACGAGACTACGAGTCGGGAATTTCCATCAATCGGAATGGAGAGTCTAAATGAGAAAAATGGTTAGTCGAGCTATAAAATATATCAAAATAGCTCAATATAATAAATCACGTATATGTTATCTCAGTAACCGTCCAGCTCTTGGTTCAGCCGTTAAATGACAGTCTCTGTTCAAGCATTTGTCCACTTAAAGATTTAACATAAACAAGACGCCTGTTCGTCCGGGGCCACTCCGGCGTGCCGTGCACGTGCCAGTCTTCAATATAAAGCTTCTGAACATAAACAATACAGTTCATATTCATTTAGATGCCTTATGAACCTAAATGTTCGATCGCGAAATTCAGAAGCACATCGTAATTTAAAAAGTATAGAAGTTCAATTGTTCAAAAATGTAAATAAACCGCATGATACATTCGCTTTGTCTTACCCTTTGCCTTTGGAATTCGCGCTTATATAGTTATATTAAATCTTCAATCCTGTACAAACTACGACGTGTCAACGCGCCAAACATGACCACATCATCTTGTTAGACGGCGAAATAGCAGCGATATTACTAAAATAGGACCAGAATCTACATGTATTAAATATATTCTTACCCCAATTCAATCTGAACTTAATCGAAAAGCATGAAAAGAACGGTTTATTTGTTCCTCTTGGAGCCGGGAATTGCCGTATCATGCGACCGAAATCGAATTGCGCATCGGAAAATTAGCCAAAGCTGTGCACCACAACTCTTGGGAGACAAGACTGGGACATAGATAAATCCAATCACATACACATTTCAAATACTAGAATGTTTCGCGCCATTTCAGACTTGCGACGACGAAAATAATAAAAAAAAATAAAAAAAACAAACAAAACAAAACCGAGGCGAATTTTCAACTCCGTCGCCGGCGCCGGAGTAATTAATCCTTTAACATAAATAAACACAACAAACTACGTTAAAGATAACATCAATAGAGGCTGTACACACAACAAACTATGTTCTTTATATATACGGTATTGTTCTTACGTCTTTTATTAACAAAATCCTATATAATATTGATTGACTGCGGTGTTATAAGCTAGGATTAGCGGATTGGGAATTTAGGGGAATCCCCTAATTCACAATTCACTCTTATAAGAATAGCAACCCGATCGCGATTCCTGAAATTAATCGAATGAATTATTGAATTTTGTTGTTTTCCCATAACCTATCACTATTTGCTGACCGTTGTGACAGTACTCAAATATGGTTACAACTGCGCCATCGATATCGCGCGTGGATGACTGAGTTACTAACGTTATATTAAGATAAACAGTTAGTCAAATAACTGAAAGACTATGAGTGACAGGTAAAAAACGTATACGTTTGACTTTGATCGCACTGTGGTTATTACTCTCTTCATAAAAATCGTAATCGACTCTGTGCAAATATGTGCTATGTGTTTTTGTTATTGTTAATCTTATGGCTACATGTGTCATATGACATAAATAATACGTACTGAAGACTGTATAGTTCAATCAGTTTCTATAAAAGTTGTTTTCTACTTAATTAAAACCTATCGTAGCGAAATGTCCCATAGCCAGTATTGTTATACTTTCTATTAGGTATTCCAACAAGCATGTTGGGGAGACTGGCCGGATTAGGAAGGCAATATTGCCGATAGCTTGATGTAATAACATGGCACAGTAGCATTATAAGGCCACTTGTACGAGTGAAAAAAGCTTCGACTGATATAAGCCACAAACTACTCCCATAGAACGGTACAAATTGCTCGCAAGCCGCGGCAAAATTGCCTCAGCCTCAGGTGTAAATGTCGCGAACTTACTCTATATTATATTCATATATATTTAAGTCGCTCGGAACTTATTCAAGCCGCGGCTTAATCCTTTTTATAACCTACCTTATTTCCACTCTAGGCTGGTATTGATTCATGGCGTAGTATAGAATGGCGTGATTTAATTCTTACAGCGTTTAAGTTTTCCACACGCGTAGAAGACAAGGTATAGAGGTGGATTTTTACAATTTGTTTCAAATTCAAGTAGGCGGTGTAGAGCTCTCTCATTCGTTCGTTAAAAAGCGCACGAGGAATTATATGTATATATATATATATATATATATATATATATATATATATATGTATATATATATATATATATATATATATATATATATATATCCAAAGAATTGACTGTTACAAAGAGTTCACAGAACTTGACAATGGTTGAAGAGCGCTCAATACCATTACCGGCAGAGCGAAGATACTACTGAGTTTCACGCTATAAAGCGATCGTCAGGCTAATGACAGGTCTAGTTGCTATTCTCTATATTTACATCGTGATATAAGGTATCGGGTTACGTGTCTACATGGAGTGAAAAGTTCAGAGCGTTTGTTCAGCAGAGATTTAGTTTTGCGTTTCATAATGTATAACTTCTCTTCAAGGCAGAGGTTACATCTTCTTGAGCCGGCTTTGTAGGCTGGGACGGTTTTCAGGAGGGACCATGTTATAGAGAATGCTTTCTTAGCTTCCTTCAGCTTCCATATCTATTTTGACAGCTCCGTCTCCTTCACGTATTTCTTGTTCGCGAAAGATTTTGCGTGGTTTCGGTAGCGCGTTTTAAAATCGTCCGCAGTGACTCCGATGTACCTCGCTGGTGGATCGTTGTTGCACGTGGACACTTCGGCTTGATACAGCCGGCTAGACCTGTCATTAGCCTGACGATCGCTTTATAACGTGAAACTCAGAGTAGCTAAGCTAGTCTTTCAATAAATAAATATTAATATAATAATATATTTATTATTATATAAATAATATATATAATATATATATATAAATATATATAATATATATATATATATATTATAATATATATATTATTATAATATATATATATAAAATAATATAGTTTAAATCGCGAATCGCGCGCGTGGCTCGTGGACGCCTCTGACCGTGGTTTCGTTTGAGGCAGGCTAAAGTAAACAAGACAGCGTTAACTCTGTTCGTTGTGGATGGCGCTGTAGCCGTAGGGCCGATATAAAGGGCCATTTTGCATGTGGTATCCCCACAAGTCAAGTGTGTACTCAATAGTCTAATAAATTCCTTTCCCCAAAAGTTCGTGTGTCATCAATCATCACATTCCTGTCCCCACAAGTCATGTTTGTAGTCAATAGTCTTATCATATTCCTATCCCCACAAGTTCAGTGTGTAATGATATTCCTTTATGCAAAGCCTTTACATGTAGAGGGCTAAGTTTATATATAGTTATATACTAGTTGCCATATTCTTTGCAATACGAATTACGCGAATTTGTTCAACGTACAACGCACACTAAACAGATTTTTCACATGTAACAAAATATATCGTTTTATGATATATTTGCCTATATAGCGACATAATGAACACTCCGAATCTGTGAATATCCGCAGACAAAAAATACAGTATAAATCAAATTGTGAATATTCAAGAAAACCATATAAATAACATATATACCTGTTTTCCATAATCACTATAATTTATAACGTTTTGAACAACGAGAAAATGTTTAGAAATGAACTAATTTCCACAACTTTTTAACCGTGTGCACTGTTCCACTGCCACTGGCTTAGACTGACTGTTGATTATGGTGCATGTTTTGTTCCACGGAAATTACGCTTGGCTATTGGCTAACCCAGCCGTGCATACATTATCTTTTTATTCTGTTCCACGGAAATTACGCTTGGCTATTGGCTAATCCAGGCAATTACATCTGTACATGCAAATTGACTAGGGTATAAAGATAAAAGAATTTCTAGATCAGCCACTGTCAACTTAGTAATAACAAGACCTGGCAATGTTTATAAAACCCTGTTCAAACCGTCATAGGCAAAATAAGGTATAGATATAAGTAGAAATAAAATAAGTTAAATCTCGTGTGTCAAACAGAAAAGTATATTTTGGTCAAACCGGCATTTATATAATGACATTAAATTTGAATGAATTGAATTCGCATGAGAATCGCTCACATTTAGTAATATTAATGGTGACCCTACCTTATTTCAAATCTAATAGCCTGGCAATGACTCATGGCGTAATACGATGATTTTGTATCCGCTGAAATGTCCTTACACTTCAATGTAATTGTACGTTTGCACTGCTGGTAGTCTGAACATCTGAGACAAGACGAATATAAAATGAGTTGTGAACTTGCACGCAAGGCGTACGTATCCAGTTCTTCATGCTCTTTCTATTTGTCACTTGCAT